AATCCTATTTACACGCTTACTATATGCCAGACAATTTGCATTATTATTTATCATATCGCTAATTCACCCCCTTTTACTCCCAATTTGTGCACCCTTACTCTTCAACTTATGCAGCAGCTCGCCCATGGTGGAAACTCTGTTCTATCTAAACGATCTCCAGTGACTGTCTGGTTGAAAGTGAATGCTTCCATCGATTACGAATACTGAAGCAGTCTTTCTGAAACCACGTACGATGTTCAAGCTGGCCTCATTCAACGTTCGCACACTAATACAGATCAAACAACAGATGGGGCTGGCTATGTCTTTAGAAAGTCTTAATGTTGATGTTTGTTGTCTATCCGAGACCCGTATTCAAGACTCTAGTGAAGTACTACAAATTCGCTCTCCATCTGTCGCCTCGAAAAGCTTGTTTCACGTGCACTCATACGGGGACTCTGTGGCATCTTCGTCTGGTTTTGCTGGCGTTGGTGTCGCACTAAGCGCTAGAGCTGAGGCAGCACTAATCGATTGGATCCCCATTAACAGTCGGTTATGTGCTGTTAGATTAGAAAGTTCCATCAAAGTGAGAAGAAATCGGCGTGAGAAACGGTGTCTTTTCGTCATCTCCGCCTATGCCCCGACAGATTGCAGCCCGGATGCAAACAAGGATGAATTTTTCGAAGGGCAGTTCAACTGGCCTGCTGCTCCGGCAACATCAACCAGTTTGTCCTGCCCCCCATGGCCGGTGAAGATTGATCCACCAAACAAGGCGGAAGTTCGCAAGGAACTCCAACTCTTGAAACGTTACAAAACACCGGGCCCAGATGACTTACCTCCGGCTCTTTTTAAAGATGGTGGTGACTTCCTGACTAAGGAATTGACTGTGTTGTTTACAAAGGTTTGGGAGCAAGAAAGTGTTCCAACATCATGGAATGAGTCGGTAGTCGTCCCTATCTTCAAAAAGGGTTCACGTTGTTCCTGCAATAACTATCGGGGGATAAGTCTACTTCTGATTGCGTCCAAATTATTGGCTTCTGTCATTCTTCGTAGGTTGTTTAAAACCCGAGAAAGATTGACTCGCGAGGAGCAGGCTGGTTTTCGTTCTGGTCGAGGATGCATTGATCATATCTTCACCCCCCGTCAAATGTTAGAACACCGTCATACTTATCGCAGGCCAACAATCGTAGTGTTTCTTGATATCAGGGCTGCCTTCGATTCGTTGGACAGGACTGTTCTCTGGGATTGTCTATAGAAGAAGGGTGTGTCTGAGAAGTTCATTGACATCTTAAAGGCCCTGTATACGAACACTTCAGGTAGAGTGAGGGCATACAACCACCTTTCTCCCTTGTTCCATTCGAGCAGTGGGGTTAGGCAGGGTTGCCCGATCTCACCATTCCTCTTCAACTATACCATGTGATTTCCACCTTCGAAGGGCAAAGTACTCTTATAAGACTGGCAGGATTCTAATCCTGTACTCACCCTAGATGGTGAGCAGATTGAAGTAGTCGAGAAGTTCGTGTATCTAGGTAGCTACATAAGTGCTGGTGGTTGCGTGAGTGATGAGATCGATGCACGTATAACGAAAGACAGAGTGGCTTATGCCAATCTGTGCCATCGTTGGCGCCTCCGTGATGTTAGTCTGGCTGTAAAAGGTCAGATCTACAACGCGTCGGTGAGAGCAGTTTTACTCTATGCTTGTGAAACCTGGCCTCTCCGAGTTGAGGATGTTAGACGACTCTCGGTGTTCGATCATTGTTGTCTCCGAAGGATTGCTGACATCCGGTGGCAACACCATGTTAGTAATGCAGAGATTCGGCATCGTGTGTTCGGGCGCAGAGATGATAATTCAATTGTTGTCACCATCTTGAAACACCGACTTCGGTGGCTTGGACATGTTTACGAATGTCGTCCCAGAGACTTCCACGTCGTGCATTATTTGCCGACTCTGAGACTGGTTGGAAAAAGCGGAGAGGTGGTCAGTGTATGACATGGTGTCGTGACATGAAAGAGAGCTGCAAAGGGCTAACTTCCGTTGGTCCTTCACGAATCCCTGGCTGGGGTCCGAGAGATGGTGCAACACAGTGGCTAGAGTTGTTACCAGATATGCCTCAGAATAGAAACCAGTGGCGAGCCTGCTGTAACCTTTTTTTTACTTTCTTCATAAAGAGTGGTTCTAACTTTCTTAACTGAAAGGGTCTTCCGGTCGAACATTTCAGTCCCCCTTATCTTTTCATCCTTTCTCTTCCTATTTTCATTATTTTGTGTGGCGCATATGTATCTGGGGCCCTTTTGTACCAATATGTATGTGTTTAAATAAATAATAATAAATAAAACTGTTGACAATATAATTGTCTATTACTCCTAGATTTTCTTTGTTTACCTAACTAAAAATAGTTTATGATGTAAACTATTTTAGAATTAAATAATCTATCATTAGAATCAAATGAATTAGGTTTTAAAATGTTAGAAGTCAAATATTATCCAAGCAAAACTCAAGTTCTATGAGTTTTTAGTGTTTTCAGTTTGATCCCAACAGAACCACTAAAAATATATGTATAAAATTTTAATTAAAACTATCTTACAATCATTGAGTCCAACTTCATTCTTATTTTCTAATTGTTTATCATCAGTAGTATTATCATCTTGTAATTGAAGTTAGTCATCGATAATACATCATTCTTATAAAATGCAAATTCCTTAATGTGAATGAAAAAAATAATTCATTTCACAACTCTCTTTAAACTAGAATCAGACAATGTTATTGTGAAAAGTTTGTCTTAAAATGATAATGGAATGAATAAATAACAATTATTTATGAAAGTTCAATTATATTATCTTAAATGATTAAACAGTAAAACATGAAACAAATTGGCCAGTAAAATGATTTACATTGAATCAATGAATAACAAACAATCATGATTTGCATTAAAAGAAAACTTCAAATAAATCTTATTGTCGTTCCTATTTTAGGCTCTTGGATGTTCAGATGGTAAACATTTTATAATTCTTTTAAAAAGTCAATGTCAATACAGTGGATTATATAATTATTTACCAATTATTGAAAAAGCAGTTCGCATTAGTGGAACAGGACCGAGTAAAATTGAAAATAATATGGTTGATAAATATTATAAGTTAGTTGATTAAATTATAAATTTCTATTATTGTCCAATGGTTTATTTGCTTTCGATCACTTTTAAACAATAACTGCAAAATTTTATTTATTTGGTCACTTTTAGATACCAGTAGATTTCATGTGACTATCGTTTAATTCATTGGACTTTTAATCAACAGACTACAGGCTCGCACACGTTTCGATTTGAATAGTTGTATACTATCACTCCCATTCATATAATCACTGTAATTCAAGGCTGAATATAAATTTGACTTTCAAGTTAAATAACTGATACTATCTAGTTAAATATCATAACTTCCGTCATCCATAATATATACAGACACAAATGCATTTGGTTTTCAATATGGAATGGAGCACCACTAAGAACTATGAGATATTGGATGGAGACCTCATCCTAATTTGGGAGCTCTTAGAAATGTTCCTTTAAATTCCACACGACAAACACAATACCTACTAATATAATGTGAAGTTCGGGGTTTTAAACTTAATAGTTTACATTTTTGACTGTCTGTTAATTATATTATGTAACTATCATTGACTACCATTGATGGTATCCGCGTGGCATTCAATATGGCTGAACTGAACCGAGTGTCACCAGAATTTTGTGAATTCATTAAAAGGCCAGTCATTGTTAGGATTTGGGTTCCCGGAAATTATTAAATTTCTTGACAAAAATTGTTCATTAATGTACAATCGTTCAGCATATACAAGTTTTCGATGGTCCCCCGACTAATATTGTGCTTAGACCATACTATTAATAATGAATCTAGTATTATTTTACTGTATTCGCCAAGTGATTGGCAGGTTACTCCGATTCCAACGTCCTCAAACTTCCAATCAAAACACTAACATATTAAATGAGTGATTACCAACATTGTTTACAGTCACGACTCACGTCCTTATATAAATAAATTACAAGATCACAACGGATAGTTAATAGCAATCCTCAATAGGTACACCCCTAGAACATTCGTAATACAAATCTGAATAACAGCTGTATGGTTTACTAACTGTCATTAATGGATTGACAAAAGACTTTCCAATCGTTAGTGAATTGAATGAAAGCTTACAATCAAGGTAATATAAAAATGCCATGAACTAACTTTTTAGTAAATACACAGGAAATATGTAGGTTGATTTCCGTGAAAATTGTTTCCCGACTTTCATAATTTCCTAACCACGTTTCTTCCTAACAAGTTAAAGTTACTTTGTTAGTTTTTTTTTCTTATTTGTACCTCTCTATGTTCAATGAAGATATGATAGTGGATTGAAAAGATTTGTTGAAATCAATTCCACATCACATATGTCAACCATTATCGATGCAATACAACTACATGGACGATCACGTAACTATTCCACAAAATCGTATGCAGCACAAACAACAAATTCAACCAAATGTCCTCTACATGCAAAATAAAGACTTTTAAAGAAAAAAATCAAATTAATTTATGATACGTGCATTACATTGCATCACTTGTTTTGGTCACCATCTAGTAAAAAGATGTTATGCATTATAAAATGAACAAACAAACAGACAAACACGTAAACGTTGAAAAAATACAAATAAATGAGAAATGTGAAGTGTTTCTTCTTCCATTTTTATTTAGATTTATTATGTTATGCCAATATTTTTTCTCAATAAAATATTAAAGCAATCAGAATTGTTTTCTGTAAATTTAAAATGTAGAATGAAAATTCATGGATTATAATCATGAAAATTCAGTTAACATGATGCCTCAGAATAGCTTGAAGAAAACGTTTAGCAACGTTTATTTGTATGATGCAGTTGTAAACATGAATCTGATGCTGATTGACGTCAATGATAACAAGATTCCGCCAAGTTAGTTTCTAAATGATCATGGATTCAAATTGACTTCATTAATTTACCGTAAATATCATTGAACATATACCTAAAAGGTCAAGTTTGAGACTGACAATTAATGAGCCTAGCCGTACAATTTCAAACTCACCTAATAATTAATTACTGCACGTAAAATCTATTAGTTGTACAACTACTTTGATGATGTTTGATTCATTATCATTGTTTTCGAAAACACCATCGTAATTACAATTGATTTCGTCTTACACAACAAAAAGTTCACACAGATAGTGATAAAACAATACAAACAAAATTATATACCGAAATGACAGAAACCTATTCTTTACTGATTTGATAGCACCATGCACTTTTTGTTGGAAAATACTACGGAATGACAACAATTTATCTATAAAAACATAAAAAGTCAGACCTTCCTTAGATAATATGACAAACGTCTGATAGTAAGATTAGGTCATGAAATAGTGACAGCAAAATATGAAATCTATTGTGATATACAACGGTTAAATAATTTCTATGGTAAATTTGAAGAAATGAAATAAAGATTATTAAGAAGTAATGATAATAAATCAACAATTGATAACGAACCAAACAAAAATAATAAAGGAAAAGTTAAGGTCCTAACAAAATAAGATCATCATTTCTTATAGTGCTCATTTCCCACATTGTTGATGATTGGTGTTAAAGATAATTTGTAAAATCAGTGTTTCCTACTGCACAACTTGATTTTAGACAATTTTGTGAAATTCCCCGGCTATACTAACTCCGAAATCGTCTTTACAACAACTCAATTCGTAAGATTAGTGTAAACAATTCCATAAAACATAACTATTTATGAATTGATGAAGCAGGTAATAAACTCTTATCACAAATTAGTAAACAATTTTTACTTTGTTACGTCTCAAATAACTCCGCCTGTAGCTCCTCCGGGGGCTACTGCCGGTCCGAAGCCCGGGTAAAGGAGGAGGTTTTGGCATGCGGTTAGCGACCCAATCCCGTAGAAAACCAACTCGCTGAAAAACGCTAACCAGAAAAAATTATTCAAACCATTTAAACTCTGCCCTTCGAGTTGAAGGAATAATTATGACGTCTCATGATGAAAGCCGAGTTCCTTCGGAAGTCATGAGGCCCATGCACCTTCTAACAACCAGAGCGACAATTTTTATAGGTACATGGAGTGTCCGAACAATGTGGGAGACCGGAAGAGTCTTCCAAATTGCTGCAGAAATGAAAAGATACAACCTGGAGGTGCTTGGAATCAGTGAAACACATTGGACGCAGATTGAACAACAACGACCAGCTTCAGGGGAACTTCGGTCATGAAGAACAAAATGCCCCACATACACAAGGAGTGGCACTGTTGTCCAGAAAAGCACAAAATGCACTTATTGGATGGGAATCTTATGGACCAAGGATCATCAAAGCCTCCTTCAAAACAAAGAAAGAGGGCCTTACAATGAATGTCATCCAATGCTATGCGCCTACCAACGACTACGATGAAGACGCTGAAGACCAATTTTACGATAGGCTGCAGTCGATCTTCGAGAAGTGCCCAACAAAGGACCTGACCATTCTGATGGGAGATTTCAATGCCAAGGTTGGAAAGGACAACACTGGATACGAAGACGTCATGGGACGACAGGGACTAGGAGAAAGGAATGAAAATGGTGAGAGATTTGCAAACCTATGTGCTTTCAATGAACTGGTCATAGATGGCACCATATTCCCACACAAAAACACACACAAAGTCAATCAGATTTCACCGGATCACACTACACAGAACCAAATTGACCATATCTGCATCAACAAAAAATTCCGGAGGACGATGGAGGATGTGAGAACAGGGAGAGGAGCTGATCATCATTTGCTGGTCGCCAAGATGAAACTAAAACTTAAGAAGCACTGGACAACGGTGCGGACAACATCACAAAAGTTTAATACGGCCTTTCTTCGAGATGCTGTCTAACTCAACAAATTCGAGATAGCCCTCAACAATAAGTTCTAGGTCTTTCATGATCTACTCAATGGAGAGGAAACTACCATGGATAACAACTGGAAAGAGATCAAGGAGTCAATCACTTCAACATGTCAGGAGGCTCTGATTCACAAGAAGCACCATCACAAAGAATGGATCTCTGTTGGTACACTGGACAAGATTGAAGAAAGGAGGAACAAAAAGGCAGAAATCAACATCAAATGAACAAGAGCAGAAAAAGCCTAGGCACAAGCCGAATACACAGAAGTAAACAAGAAAGTGAAGAGAAGCATCAGAACCGACAAACGTAAACATGTGGAAGATTTAGCAATGACAGCGGAAAAGGCTGCAAAAGAAGGGACCATGAGACGATTGCATGATGCAACAAAGAAACTCGCTGGAAATTACCGTAAACCAGAACGATCAGTGAAAAGCAAGGAAGGCAAGGTAGTTACTAACAATGAAGAACAGGTGAGTAGAGCACATCAAAGAACTCTTAAGTCAATCAGCTCCACTGAACCCACCCAACATCGAAGCAGCACCCACAGACCTCCCAATCGATGTTGGCCCACCAACAATTGAAGAGATCAGCATGGCCATTAGACAAATCAAGAGCGGCAAAGTAGCAGGACCAGACAACATTCCAACAAAAGCACTGAAAGCAGATGTAGTAGCAACTACAAAGATACCTCACATACTCTTCGGTAAGATTTGGGATGAAGAACAAGTACCAACGGACTGGAAAGAAAAACACCTGATCAAAATACCAAATAAAGGCGATCTCAGAAAGTGTGATAACTACAGGGGCATCACTCTTCTTTTAATACCAAGAAAAGTCTTCAACAGGGTATTGTTAGACAGAATGAAGGATTCCGTAGACACCCAACTTCGAAACCAATAGGCTGGATTCCGTAAGGATCGATCGTGTACAGACCAAGTTGCAACTCTATGGATCATCGTGGAACAATCAATTAAATGGAATTCATCACTCCACATCAACTTCATTGACTACAAGAAATTATTTGATAGCGTCGACAGGACAACATTATGGTGTCTTCTTCGACACTACGGCATGCCTGAGAAGATAGTCAATATCATGCAGAATTCCTATGATGGATTAAACTGCAAAGACGTGAGTGAAGGACAGCTCACTGACTCATTCGAGGCAAAGACCGGTGTCAGACAAGGTTGCTTACTCTCACCCTTTCTCCTAGTGATCGACTGGATCATGAAGACGTCAACATCTGGAGAACACGGGATACAGTGGACAGGCAGGATGCAGCTGGATGATTTAGACTTCGCAGATGATCTGGCTCTGCTTTCACACCTGCAACAACAAATGCAGGAGAAGACGAACAGTGAATCAGCAGTAGGTCTCAACATACATAAAGGGAAAAGCAAGATTCTCTGATACAACACAGTATGCGCCAATCGAATCACACTTGACGGAGAAGCTTTTGAGGATGTGGAAACCTTTACATATCTGGGCAGCACCATTGATGAACACGGTGGATCTGATGCAGATGTGAAGACGCGAATCGGTAAAGCAAGAGCAGCAGATCTACAACGGAAAAACATCTAGAACTCAAAACAATTATCAAACCGATGAATATGTTGTTCTATCAGATATCGTCAACAGAGAATGTGAAAAGTTCATGTTACGCTCGTTGACAGAAGATCAATTTAAATGCCTTATATTCATCAAAGCTCTGCAGCCACCACAAGATGCTGAGATTAGAACCAGACTTCTAACTCGTTTGGATCAAGATCCTAACATCACACTCAGAACGTTAACAGATGAGTGTAAGCGGCTACAGAACATCAGACACGACAATCAGTTGATTGAACAGGTAAATCCTAATTTAACCTGCAGTAGTGTCAATGCTATTACGAGGTTAAAAGTTCAGGAACCGAAAACAAGTGGTAGCAAACCAACGACTGCATGTTGGTTATGCGGCGATTGGCATTATGTACGATTCTGCCCATTCAAGAAACATAAATGTCAGATGTGTAATAAACGTGGGCGTAAAGAAGGTCATTGTTCTCCAAATCGTACGTCCCAGCCTAAGCAAAAGCACAAACGTCCTCGACAAATGAAGTCAGCCGAATCTAAATCACTTTCTCTGGTAGCAGCCTTTCAAACAAACTATGACATTCGGATAAAGTATGTTACGATCCAGATTAATGGTATAGCGGCTCGTCTTCAAATTGACACAGCATCCGATATTACTCTAGTGTCTAGAGAGACTTATAACTTGCTGGGAAAACCGCCAATGAAGCCATCCAAGAAAACGGCTAAAAACGCATCTGGAGGTGTACTGAAGCTAGTTGGTGAATTACAATGTGAATTTTCCTTCAATGGAAATAGCTGTAAAGGAGTATGCTATCTAACAGAACGACCAAACCTTGATCTACTTGGTCTAGATATGTTAGAAAAGCTTGGATTAATGGATAAACCCATCAACAGCGTGTGTAACGTGTCGTGTCCATCATTAGACACCACTTCATATGCAAAAAAGACAGGTAAAAAGGTTCCAGAAATACGGAGTGTAGCAGCAGCGGCAATTCGATACACTCCAGTGTCTTCAGGTGAAGTCAGAAAAGACTTTTCAGCATTTTGTCAGCAGAACGGAATCAGGCACATCCGAACACCTTCATTCCATCCGCAATCGAATGGCCAGGTAGAACGTTTTGTTGGTACGTTCAAAAATGCTCTAAAAAAATCAAGAGGGGAGGGGGACAGCGAAGAGATCTTAGAGAGGTTCTTGTTTATCTACCGTTCGACACCGAACCCTCAGACAACAAATGGAGTCTCCCCAGCGGAAGCGTTACTCGGCAGAAAAATAAGGACACATTTCGATGTCATCCGTCCGACGACAGCTCGTGAACCCCAACGAAACTTACCGATGGAAAAGCAGTTCAATCGACACCATGGGGCACAAAGACGATTGTTCACGGTGGGTAAAAAGTACTTGATATGGACTATCGTGGTAAACATCCTACGTGGACAGCTGGTCGGATCGTGAGAAAGAAAGGGAATGTGGTTTATGAGGTGTCAGTTGGCTCAGAAGTTTGGGTGCGTCATGCTAACCAACTGAAATAAACTTCGATCTCCAACAACGAAACGCAGCATATATTACCTCTTGATGTTCTGCTAGACACCTTTGAGATCAAAACACCTGAAACAGACAGGACAGTCAAGGTGCAAACGAAGGATGATACAACGTCCTTATTACCTAGAAGATGGACTAACCGGAAGCGCAAACCAGTAAAGCGGTTGTAGTTGGACCCTAACACCAGATCCTACGAATCTGCTCAAGGGGGAGGTGTTAGTGGGATATAGATTGGATTAAGCATGTTTTATGCATGATGGTGTTGCTGTGCGCTGATTGGTTAATTTTAAACCGATCAGTCGGGGCATATTATTGCAGAAAAATCTATAAGCTTCTTATGCATATACTAAAAATATATGAACGATATTTAAACTATTGATTGCTGTTCACTTATCATTATTATTTTGTATACAATTTTATTCATGTTCAACGTGTTCTGATTTTGGGGTCTTGTCGAGTGTCATCGTATAAGAATACTAAACAATAGGAATAGCTGGGTCGTTTATATAGCAAAAACTACAATTATAACAAACACCAAGGTTAGAATTTTTAATACAAATGTCAAAACAGTTCTACTTTATGGGGCGGAAACCTGGAGAACTACGAAGGCCATCATTCAGAAGATACAAGTGTTTATTAACAGTTGTCTACGCAAGATACTTCGGATTCGTTGGCCAGACACTATCAACAACAACCTACTGTGGGAGAAAACAAACCAGAATTCGGCGGAGGAAGAAGGGCTGGAAGTGGATAACGCACACATTGAGGAAATCACCCAATTGCGTCACAAGACAAGCCCCCACATGGAATCCTGAAGGTCAAAGGAGAAGAGGAAGACCAAAGAACACATTACGCCGAGAAATAGAGACAGACATGAGAAGAATGAACAAAAACTGGATAGAACTAGAAAAGAAGGCCCAGGACAGAATGGGTTGGAGAATGCTGGTCGGCGGCCTGTGCTCCATTGGGAGTAACAGGCGTAAGTAAGTAAGTAAGTTTCAAATACTTTTTATCATTATTCATCGTTTTATGAATGATTCTGTAACCCTATTTTAGATGTAGTTTTATTCTTAAAAGATTGTGTAATGACAGGATTCTAAATTATTATTCATTAAAAAGTTTATCAGCTTTTATAAATCATAACTGGAGAGCTTCAAAATACAATTCTTGTTACCTTTTCAGTTATATTATTGAACACCTTGGTTTCTCTTTGAACTCAGATTCTTTACAAATTCATAAGTGTTCACTAGTCGAGATTCAAATACTCCGACATAAACACGGTGTACAAGCTTAAAAAGGCTTGACTCGGTAGCTATGGTGTACATGTTTCGCCTTTTCCTAAACATTTTCCCTAAAACAACCGAACATAACCGTCTAATAAGTTGATTACACTACAGTTGAATTACAATATTTAAAATAAACTCTTACAATTGACTCATAACTACTAACTAGGCAACCTGTTTGCACGTTTTTTTTAATGAAAATCACATAATTTACACTGAGAAATAAGGAATTTAATCGATTTACCGGTATACATGTGTAGAAATATATTTCAAAGAACAGACAAAAATACTGGCAAACATTAACAGTAGCTTAAGGTACACTTTTTGTCATTTTTAAAAGCTGAAGAAAGAGGAGAAAGGGGAATCGAGGAAAAGTGATAAGCTATTCGAAATAGTGCTCACATGAATTTCAAAACAATTGCATTGATCAATAGGAACGATTATGAAACTAAGACAAAGATAACTATAGCAAGTTAAACGAGATTTTAAAAATTCCTTCGGTGTAGAGGTTCAACATGGTTTGTAAAGTTCACTGAACAGAAAGTATATAATACATTAAAGCGTGAAAAGATTTGCAAATTTGATTTACTTAGTAATGTAAGAAGTCAGTACGAAATTTCGGCAGCATTTCATTTATTGTAATACTATTCCAATCTGTAAAATGATTTTAATAGGATGAGAAATAAACAATCAATACATTTAACAAATAAAACAAATGCAATAAATGAATAGTTTTTTTCATTAATTTGAAAAAACAAACATATTAAATTAAGGTAATTGTGATATGGGGAAAAACTAGGCTGAACAACTAGGCCTTAAATGAATCGAGAGTGAGTGAACTGAATATATGATCTCCTCGAAAGACATCTAATCATATTTACTTTTCCGTTACTACTTGTGTATTAAATATGTGGTTTTATTAAATAAAAGAAATGTATTCAGAAAATCCCGGTCAATTGAATTGAAATGTGAGAAAACATTCAAGTTCTAGACCCGAACTTAGCAGTAGATCTAATATTCGACTAAGTCAGTTAGCTACAACGTAGGACCAAGCACATTTATGCACCGGTCCAAGTTGCCATTCGACTATGTAGGTTTTCAAAATAAATAGAATCAGACCAAAAATATTTGTGCAGTATATATATGTATATAGTTTTTAGTAGTGGAACAATTGTGAAAATATCTATTACACCAAATTGAAAATTTATTTTCAACGATTTAGTCTTTTAGATATTTTGAGTAGTAAGACCTCTTTTACAACATTGGTGAAGGTCAAATTCAACAAGTTATACGATCATCTTAATTACAAGGTGATACAATAAGCTCAATGTAAATATCTACTTCACCTCTGAACTTGTTTAATTTAAATATGCTTAACTTCTAAACATTTGGACAATTTATATTAACAAATCGTCTTAATTTATATCACTTCACTCAACACAATAATCCATGACCGAACTTTTGATATCGTTATTGATGATTATTTCTTATCCAACGCTACTTACTATTCTCTTGATTGTATCTAACTTACAATCTGATTCCAGTATGGATTAAATACTAGTCATTCCTACGCTGACAGACAACAGATACGAGCATTGTTAAAAGTTGTATTCACCTTGAAACTATTTTGCTAGGATATCAGAATTAGAATGACAACAGTACAATTTGTTAGGAATTCGATGTACAAAATATTCTTCATTCATACATCATACACGAATAAATACTTTGAAGAAATTATACTATCCCTTATTGGAACTTTACGAAACGCATGTATTAGTTTTAAGCTGTAGGAAATCCTCCAGGCACTAAAGTATTCAACACATAATCAATTCGATTTGTACAGCAACGCCGGATATTAGTGCAAAGCAGTAATGGAGTGTCGTCTCACATGAAGTAGATGTGAAATGTACATCGACATACAATGATATCACGCTAATAAAAGTACCTAAATTTTCAAGTATGAATCTGATGAATGCCTGAAGAATATTTACTAACTCGAGAGTCATTCATATGGAAATCTATAATATTTTGATCAACATAGAATTCAAAACATTTCAATCAGAACTCGATGTGGTAGTATACTTGAAATATTTACCAGTTTGGATTACCACCACTTTGTCATTAGCATTTTTTATAACATTACACCAAAAATAAACTGTTATTAATGTACATAACGTCAGTGAACGTTAATTATACAAGAAACTCAAGAATTAAGACAGAAGGAATGAAAAAGATTTTATCAAGGTGGTCTATTTTAACGTATATAATCTAATATCTCTATACACTTATTAAGGTTGTCGAGGTAAATTGTCAAGATGAACATTTATAGGTCTCACACAACATTTACATGAAGCAAAATAAAGTGTTTCAAATAGGAATAAATTGAATGGAAAAAACAACAGAAAATATTTTAAAAAATTAACAAACCTCAGAGGGCTTAGCGAATGGACAACGCCAGTTATACAAATAATAATGTAGATCACCGTCTCCGATGCCAAATTTCAACTCTTCCAGAAATTTTCCATTTTCCATTAGATCCAAAGCATTGAATACGTCAAACTTTAACTGTAAATTATAAGAATAATGACACACCATAGTGAACAAATGGAGTGAAAAACATGAAATGTACTAAAGATAAACAATCAACTGTAAATCTTATAAAATTTTCAATGAATCGATTGACAACAATAATAAAAAGTTGAATAAGATGTCATGAAAAGTATTTGGAAAGAACTAAAAATTCAAACAATAATAAAGGAAAGGCTATAAACTTTTACAGTATGAAAGGTTGATAATTTTTGTGATAAAGAACATAACAAAAGGATAAAATGGTCAACACATGAAGAAAACTATCAACTGAGTCACGAAATACATGCTTGTGTAGTCAGTATGGAATAATCTTTTGTGGTATGAAGATCATGGATAATATTCAGCTTTTCCAATCGAAGATAGAATTTTGTGTGTGAGATTCACTTATTAAGACAGTTTCATATAGTTAGTTGTCTTCGAAAATTTAAATAAAGCAGGAATGAAATCGATTGCATAATACAATAAATTCGTTATACTTGGATGTATTCTGTTTAGCTACGTGTAAGGTAATACATTTGATTATTTTAAATTATTAACATAATTTGAAAAAATGAACTGTCTAACAATAAATAAAACATCCTATAATGATCACTTCTATCATTTATAAAAACCTGTTCAAGTTTAGTTTATAATTAAATTTAAATTTACATCCTTGCTATTTATTGTTGAACAATTCATCTTTTCAAATTACAAAATATAATAATAAGTCCAAACAGTCAAACTTACTACCTTGCATGTAGCTAAAGAGAAAGTAGCTAAATATGATGAATTGATTGTATTTTGAAATTTCTGTTTGCTTTATTGGTGTTACGCATGAGCAGCTTGCATTCCATCGATTTATCGAAAATCGTTAGAAGAATATAGATTAAATTAAAGTACGTTTCGTGTAGGATTATGTTGGGACACTTTGATTAGCTATCTTTTAACCAATCAGTGCTAGTGGATACTTGGAGAAGACTCTAAAATCTTCTCATGTAAAAACTATAAATATAATAACGTTTTTCTTATTGTGATTCCTACTTCCATCTCCTCCTTGTTATTTGGAACGTGATTTCGTTCCTGTTCAATAGTCTTCTGACTTGGGACCTGTCGGGTGAAGCAGTGTCCAAGAATACTAAGCAATAGGGGTAGCTGGGCCGTAATAAGAGAAATTATAACAAAAACTAACAGTTTTCTTATCTGTTGACACACCTTTAATAAGCTCGGCCATGTTGAACTGGTTACTTTTGTGGTTATCAGTTTTGACAGTTGACTGCTGTTATAGAGTTTATCATCTTGAATACAAGTTCCTTAACCTAAGATAATTATTATTTTCTGTAAAACCAACTATTTATAAATATTTATAAATAAATATTTCGAGAAGCCAAAATAATCTTTTTAACTTTAATCAACTTAGGGTACGCTAATTCAATAAATTACACAAGGTATTCGTAAGCTGTAGTCCAACGGTTAAATTTCATTAATTTTAACTAGTAAACTAAAATAAGGCAGTTATTTCGTATAGGTGAAAACCGTCGTAATGCAATTTATTTAGAGAAAACTACTATAAAATTTCTGGCGTACACAAAGATAATTAATAGATGTAGCCAGTGATAACTGCCGGTAGGGGATTCGTACTGAGACTAAAAAATTTATATAAATAAAAAATTACCATCATATTTTAACATCAAAATATGTTGACTCAGACACCTGAGTTTATCTTTATATTTGCTGTACTATATATGCTGTCATATATAAAAAATCCCAGCTTCCTGAAGCATGGAGGTGAAATATTTCTTTAACAACACTTTAACCCTCAATTTTAATTATTACAAATGTATACCAGACATATATTTACATATCTAACAAGAATATATATGAAAACTTACCTGTTTAGCTGAAATCAACATATCTTGAATTAATGCAGGCCATGGTGTTACTGTAGAAACATTGTAAAATGAGTAGGCCGCGCGAAGGCTATTGTGTTGTTTGCTTTTCATGACTGAACTGGGAAGGACATAGAACGAACAGAAGTCTGTGATTTGGCCAACTCCACTCTAAAATTAAGTGAAATTGGAAACCAAAGCAATGAAAGTAATTGGTGTTCGATAAATGCGTAGCGATTTTCGAAATTGCAAAATGGAGTTAAATTCTCTCACCAATAAAATTGACGCTTATAGATACAAATGAAGAATATATTCGGATGTTGTATTTCTAAGTGCACAGCTCTTTACAGATAAACTAATAAAAGACTCACATTCTGCAAAAAGGCATATCATAACAAATTATTTGTTAACTTTTAAATGATAAAATTAAGCAGCATTATCACATAGTATTGTATTGATAATACCTTTCATTTTAATTCTTCTATCACTAATGCTTGTTAACCAATATTACATAATAACACAACGTGTAATGGATGAGAATCCATGAAATAAAAATCAATTCATATTATTCCGCTACAATTTGTTCTTGTTTTATTCTAATTTATAAATGGAACCAAATTATAAATGGTCACATAGTTGAAAGTAGAAAGTAAAATAGAACAAAATACGTAACATTACACAAACATGAAATAATATTAGATATTCACCTCAACTACGAAAGAGTACACAACATCATCTCGAGGAACAAAGAAATGCTGAAATTCTTCTTTTGTAAAAATTGGATGAATATTAAACTTTTCCAAGTACTAAAGCAGTAAACAGTAAACAACAAGAATATTTTTTTATGAAAAAAGAGAAACAGGAAGCAAAATCATAATAACACGGAATTATGGGAATTTCTTTCAAAAATATCTACATTTGAACAGTGCAAACATTTCCTATCATCTTTTTTTAAAACCTTACTACTGCGTACATCTTTTTGTATCAGTTGCTACAATTTCTCTTTGTAGGGAGCTAACAAATTCATAATCTAGAGGTTAAATGAGTAAACTATCAAGACAGAATTTACAAGCACTTCACACACTACAGCGCTAAACAATAAAAATTACTCCTAATTAATAACGAACACGAAATTCTCGTGAAAAATTAAGTTATACTACTTAACTGTTGGGATATACACCAATTAAGGAAGGAGGTTTTTAATAATCGCCATTTTGAATTTTTAAACCGCATTGGTACGTTTTAAATCTGACGCCCTAAACTCGTAACTTGAATGGGGCTGGTTTTTCAAAGACAACTTAAAAAAAGTATAAATCTCCACCCACTGTCTTGTATTATCGTCATATGGAGCGAGAAATGGACCATCGATGTTTTAGTAGTTTGGAAGATGGGTCAAGATTTATTGAGGGTATAGAAAAATTTTGGCTGAAGAGTGTTGCGCCGAGTTTACTCATGTGTACCTACAGACATGTTATAACATGCACTTTCGGTGTAGCTATTACCACAAAATGCAAATGACTTTGTAGTTATCCATTTTTCTACAGTATTTCATATACTACCTCTTAAATACAACTCTATACTTGCAAAATATGACTATTATGGTAAGTATCCGGAAAATAATCCTATATTCGAAAATGACATCACTTTTGCTGATGCATTTTGTTTACATTTTATGCTTCAAACTACTCACAGTTTTATGATAAATGTTTAATAGGAATAACTGATGAGCTATGCCTTTTGAAATAATAAACTCTTATTTTTTTAAGTGTTGCTTTTGTAGAAACCTGGTCATTTTCAGAATACAGATGTAATTAATAAATAACAAATTCACCTCAGATAATAAAGGCCATGCTTTGGGAACATCTTTTTTTGTCATTTGACGAAAACCTTTGACAAGAGGAGCTTCAGGTAATCTGTATAGTTTAATTGTTCGTTGAAGAGTCATGTTGTGAGTAAGGTGTGAAAATCCACATTCAAGAAGTTTACGTGGATTGAGAGGGCGATGCCAGTATCTAAGAAAAGTATTAAAAAACTATCTACTGAATATAACTAACAGCAAAAATCTTAACTCATTAAACCGACAAAAAAGTAAAGAACAATATCAGGTAAGCAATATAGCTTCGATAACTTACAATCAATGCCTAGAAAATACTGACAAGAATATAAGTTTTAATAACAGTTTAAAAAAATTATAGACCTGTTTTAACAGTGGTTTCAGTCAACCAAGCGAGATTACGACGGTAATTTTTTATCAGAATCAACAACATTGCTGTACAGCGTGATCTTAACTCAGAAGCGAAATAACCGTTAGTTGTTTAGATATACCTAAGCTTAATTGGAGAAACCCACTGTTTAACGTAAAGCATAATGCTTATTATATATTGAAATTTCTATAACTAAAGATTTATTAAATACATAAACGTGAAATTGGGACACAAATATACTGGATAAAAAAATCGTTCTCAATTAATTTCCTTATCGGTCTGTGAACTGCACCTCTGAGTAGTTTAAATTCTGCAAAATGTGTGAATAGATCTTTAACATCAAAACTATATACTGACTACGATTAAATACAACACATTCATTTAGAACAAAACAGATATTTGGTACACTATTGTCCTTATCGACCAATCAACCTAAAGTTTACTTGTATGAAAATACCTTAGGATAAATTAAATTTTGAAGGCAACGAAACTGTAAAACATACCGACATTTGCTGACTGGTTTTGGAAGTAAAGTTCCACTTGTGAACAAAGCCTGAAATCTCCCACGTAGATGAACACGACGAGTTACTTCTCGAATTAGTACAGGGGCCATACGTTTAGAACGTAATTTTTTATGGACACAAAGATAGTTGACTTCAACAAGCTGTTTTGCTCTGAGGTAGAAATTAAATATAAAATATAAAAACATAGGTATATTTTTCCGGATGTCTCAGTCACTTACATGTGGAGCTGCGGTTGGCTAATTCAAAAAAATTGCTCACATGAAAGAAACAATCCAAAAGAACAAAACATCATAACTTAAGAAACCAAAGCACTGGACGATTTCGACATTTAGACAAAAAATCCTTGCTGTATGATCATCTTAAAATCAACTTGTACGGAATAAACGAGCTTTGTTTAACTCAAGGATATCCATTATTAGAAAACATAAAGCCAGGAAACAGATAGACAAAACAATATGGAACCATGCGAAAAGATTAATCGGATAAAGTTGTTGCTTTTTGCAACACCACAAAAGGAGGAAGAGAATTAGGCTGAAAGAATAACAGAATAATTAAGACATGGGATTAAAAGAGGACAATAGATGATGCGTTAGAAAAATATAAAGATTTAATTAATTCGCACAGTTGTGACAGGTTCCGAATCATATCACTTATAGTCTTTATCTACTAATTCTTTCCATCCTTTCAATAAGAGTAAAACTGATAAGTCAATAGCTTCATGGACTATTACATTTCTTAGACTGACTACTCAGAATAAAAAACCAATTTAATATTTTATACAGTCCTTCAATTGTCAGTAACAATTTATGTGATGCCAACTGATAAACAGGTCAAGCAACAAACTGAGGGAGAAAATATAAAATCGCAGTCATCTATAAATGATACAGATCCTGAACCATCAACTAGAATCAGTCACACGGACATAAACTAATGTCCAACCATTTCAGTCAGTCAGTCAGTCACAACGTAGAACTTCGTACGTACGTACATCAGTTCGAGTTGCCATACCACATTAGCACAGAGATGCAGTTGTCGATTCAATTCCCATAGTGGTAGAAGTAGTAGGAGTATAATCAGAAATCCAAAAGATTAGGGTTTGAAGAAATTATTGAAGGAGTATAGTACAGTGAAATAAATTTGGAAAGAGAAAAGATAAATACATGAGGAATTCAGAAGATTAGAATTTGGTAGAACACAAAGAGTGGATGCATCTTCGCCATTGCAAACGATTTTCAGCCATGTCATTCAAGGTCTCTAACCATCGGTTGCTGTCATCTCGCGAATCCCAACCAGGTAGTCTACACCTACCAACATGGCCCAGTCCACTTGTCAGTGACTTCATTGATTTGTGCCATGTTTTGGTCTGGCCACCCCTAGCTTTCTTCCAACCTACTCCTACACCATGAAACATTGCACGTCGGGGCAGTCGGTGGTCGGGCATACGTAACACATGTCCCAGCCATCTCAACTGATGAAGTTTCACTACTTCATCAATCGATTTGCCATCCCTACCTAGTACTCGTTTCCTAACAACTGCATTACTTACCCGGTGGTCCCAGGATATACGAGCAATGCTTCGAAGACACCTATGATCGAACACTAGTAGACTACGAATATCCTCTACTCTTATTGGCCATGTTTCACTGCCATAAAGTAGGACGGAGCGAACTGCTGCACAGTAAACCCGTCCTTTGGTTGCTAGACGGATATCTCGCCTACTCCATAAATGACGCAAGTTGGCGAAAGCTAGACGAGCCTTCTGTATCCGTGCTGAGATTTCGTCACATACCAGACCACAAGGGCTGATGAGACTCCCAAGATAAGTGAAGTGGTCTACACGCTCAACTACTTCACTCCCTATCATTAGTTCAGGTGTCGCTGCAACCCAATCCTGAAGTAACATTTTGCACTTCGAGGGAGAGAATCGCATTCAGAACATGCCTGCATAGTTGCTTATAGTAGTCAGAAGACTCTGCATGTTGTCAGCGTCTTCACCGAGTAAAACTATGTCGTCGGCGTATTCTAAGTCAACAAGTGAGCCTCCTGGTAAAAGTTCAACTCCTGGAGGTTTAGCTGATGAAAGTGCTATCTCTAAAAGTATGTCAATGACAAAGTTAAACAAGAATGGGGTGAGTGGTCAGCCCTGACGAACGCCACTTGTGGTAATCAGTTCTGATGACAGTTCGCCATAGGCTCTAACTCGACCAGTTGTGCTCGAGTAGAGAGCCTTTATGAGGTTAATGTACTTCTTTGGTACTCCTTTCAGTGACAAACATTGCCATAGAACCTCACGATCAACAGAGTCAAATGCCGCCTTAAGGTCAAGAAATACTACTATTGTGGGACGTCTGAATTTGTGTCTATGTTCTAGAACCTGACGTAGGGTGAATATCTGGTCTATGCAACCACGTCCAGGTCGAAAACCAGCCTGGTTTTCTCTAGTCTGCTCGTCACGAGCTTTGGTTAGGCGACCTAGTATTATTGAAGCTAATATATTAGACACTATATTAGTCAAACTGATCCCTCTGTGATTGTCACAAGAGGACTTTTGTCCTTTCTTATAGACTGGCACAATCAGTGATTGGGACCAGTCAGATGGAATTACGTCCAGTTCCCAGATTCTACCTAAGACCTCAGTCAATCTCACTGCTAGTACTGGACCACCATCCTTAAAAATCTCAGGGGTCAACCTGTCAGGGCCTGCTGCTCTCCCTCGCTTCAGATTTCCTATAGCTTTTTCAACCTCACAGAGGGTTGGAGGACTTACATCAATTTGCCATTCAGGACGACTGGGGATCGTGGGTAATTGAAGTGTGGCTGAAGGCCAGTTGAACTGATCCCTAAAGTGTTCTGCCCATCGATCCAATCTCCTGGATTGAGAATGAATAATATGCCCATCTTTATCTGAGATGGTTTCACTGATATTCGGGTTCCTAATACCGGTTTCTTTAACGAGTCTGAATAGCTGCCTACTGCTACCTATTGCCGCTGCCTTTTCCATCTCTCTTGCTTTCGCTACCCACCACTGTTCACGATCATTACGTAGGCTTCTTATAAGCCTTCGCTTAAGTTGACTCCGCTCTTCGTTATGCTCAGAGCCAGGTGGGATGAGTTTACGAGCATCTATCAGTGCGGTAGATGCTGCCGAGATCCATTGTTTCTCCCTAACGTTATGGTTTACCTTACTAGCAGATATCACTGCTGTTTCCACAGCTTTTCGGATGTCATTCCACGCTGCCTCGGGGTGGACACAACTTACATGGCTGCCTAACTGTTTTCCTAGTTGTTCCTGAAATATATTCTTAGATTGCCTATCATTAAGTAGAACCCTTAGAGGCTTCCCTGCAGTGTCTTTCCTACGACCAGTAAGACGCAGACAGATACGTGCTCGCACTAGAGCATGATCTGAATCTAAACATGTGCTCCAGAATGAGCGACAGTCTTCTATCGAGCCCCTCCATCGGTGGCTGATAGCGATGTGATCTAATTGGGTCCAACGTTGGGACGAATTCGGGGGTCGCCATGTCAAAAGATGTTTTTCCTTATGCTTAAAGTTAGTATTTGCAAGAAATAGGCGGTTATCTGAGCATAGCTGCAACAGACGGTCGCCATTATCTGTTCTTTTCGCCATGACACCATAAGATCCACCCAGGTGTCCTTCCCTTTCACTTAGTTTACCTACTTGAGCATTAAAGTCACCTGCTACTATTACTACATCAGAACGCCTAGCTTCTCGGAGAAGGTCAGAAAGTTTCCTGTAGAACTCATCTTTCATATCGTCTGAGCTGCGGTCAGTGGGAGAGTAGGCAGAGACGACGAAGAGGCAACGACGAGTTTCCCTATCTTTCCGGGTCCTCACTGATCCGTTTAGTCGGACAGCGCATAGACGACTGTCTACTGGGATCCAGTCTAAAAGAGTTAGTTCTGCCCTACGACTTAATGCTATACCTACTCCAGCGAGGCCACGGGAAGCAGCATCAGGGCTTCCAGATACACGGAGCGTGTATCGAGATGAAACTTTATTTTGATTAGGTGCGGTCAAATGAATGACACTACTCGGATCTTGTATGCGCGTTTCGGAGACGCAGCACACATCGATGGTGTAAGATTCTAGAGTCCTAGCTAAGGAAGCCTGTTGTCCTATTTGGCACAATGTTCGGACATTATGCGGAAACATGCTTTGCCCCCCAAATGCCCTGGTACGGCCGAGAGTGGGGAGAGTCTACTCTCCCTCTCGAAATGCTCTCATATGGCCAGCGAATATATAGCCTCTGCCAGGGAAGTCCTACTCACTGCCTTCTCGTGGCGGGGGTGTTGTTTACGAAAGTGAGAGGACGAAAAGCGAATGTCCGGCGCTATAACCGGATTGGTGGACACGGAGGGTCCACCTAGGGGAGTTGGAAAACCCTGATTCCAAACCAATGGTGCACATGGGCTCCAGTTTCCTGATGGAACGAATGGCGGAAGAACCTGTCATTGGTCAACGACTACCATGGGACTGCATCTCCTCACGATGCTCCACTGCCTTGTGGATCAGACCTTTAGGTCAAAGGCTCCGGGTGTGGCCCCCTAAGAAAACCACCTGCATCGGTTTGGGCACCCGGGCAGTATCACAGCCCACACACAAATGAATGAAATGACGAACTCTATTGACGATTCTATTCCTGCTCATATTATAAGCAAGACAATTTACGTTATTATTATCATTATTATTATTATTATTATTATTATTATTATTACTATTATTATTATTATTACTTACCATATCGCTAATTCACCCCCTTTTACCCCCAATTTGTGTAACCTTACTCTTCAACTTATGCATCAGCTCGCTCTTGGTGGAAAATCTGTCCTATCTAAACGATCTCCAGTCACTGTCTGGTTGAAAGTGAATGCTTCCACAGATTATGAATACTGAGGCAGTCTTTCTGAAACCGCGTACGCCGTTCAAGCTGGCTTCCTTCAACGTTCGCACACTAATGCAGATCAGACAACAGATAGAGCTGGCCATATCTTTGGAAGGTCTTAATGTTGATGTTTGCTGTCTATCCGAGACCCGCATTCAAGACTCTAGTGAAGTACTACAAATCCGCTCTCCATCTGTCGCCTCGAAAAGCTTGTTCCACGTGCGCTTATCCGGGGACTCTGTGGCATCTTCGTCTGGTCTTGCTGGCGTTGGTGTGGCACTAAGCGCTAGGGCTGAGGCAGCACTAATCGATTGGTTCCCCATTAACAGTCGGTTATGTGCTGTTAGATTAGAAAGTTCCATCAAAGTGAGAAGAAACCGGCGTGAGAAACGGTGTCTTTTCGTCATCTCCGTCTATGCCCCGACAGATTGCAGCCCGGATGCAATCAAGGATGAGTTTTACCATCAGTTAACAGTTCTTCTCCAGAAAGCGCGTTCGACAGATATTGTAGTACTAGCCGGAGACTTGAATGCACAGGTCGGGCGTCTAGGCACAGAAGAGAGTCGTCTAGGTGGCCGATGGGGACTTGTTGGTCGCAGGACAGATAACGGGGACCGTTTGCTGCAACTGTGCACAGACCACAACCTGTTTCTGGCCAGCACTAACTTCCGGCACAGTCATCGCCGGTGTGCCACCTGGCGTCCTCCCTCTGCATCCCAAGCCTGGACTCAGATTGATCACATCGCGATCAGCTACCGCTGGCGTGGTTGTGTACAAGACTGCCGCTCCTTTTGGAGTACCTATCTGGAGTCCGATCATGCCCTGGTCTGCGCCAATCTCACCTTACTTTTCAGTGGCCGAAGGATTGACCACCACCAACGGATTGATATTAGTAAACTGGCTGCAACTCCTGTTGCAAGTAAGTACCGAGCGGAGCTAGCCTCTAGGCTAGCTAACACCCCACCGAAAAGTATAGATGAGCATTGGTTGCATCTTCACGATGCCATGAAAATGGCGAGTAAAGCCGCTTGCGGCTTCGCGAAACGTCCCGCTTACAAGCACTGGGTTTTTTCTGGCTCCTTACAACTGATGGAAGCCCGTCGGTCTACTCCGGGTGACCGTGAGTTTGACCACAAACAAAGGCTGTTACGTAATGAAATTGGGCAAAGCTTGCGTAAGGACCGAGAAGCCTGGTGGTCGGAGCGTGCTAATGAGATGGAAGCAGCAGCTGCATCTGGTAACTGCCGGAAGCTCTTCCAACTCATCCGAGCCACTGGCAGCAAGAAGTCTGGTGTGAGTGAAACAATCTACGAGGATGATGGGATGCCAATCACTAACATCTCCCGACGTCTTGGACGATGGGCGGATTGTCTATTGAAGAAGGGTGTGCCTGAGAAGTTCATTAACATCTTAAAGGCCCTATACACGAACACCTCAGGCAGAGTGAGGGCATACAACCACCTTTCTCCATTGTTCCATTCGAGCAGTGGGGTTAGGCAGGGTTGCCCGATCTCACCATTCCTCTTCAACTTTGCCATCGACGACATCTTGGAAACAGCTCTGATGGATGTAAGTAATGGCGGTGTGGATATGTTGCCTGGAGAACGACTTCTCGACCTTGAGTATGCGGATGATATTGTCTTACTGTGCGATAATGCCCAAGGCATGCAATCAGCACTTAATCAGTTGGCAATCAGTGTCCGCAGGTACGGCATGTGCTTTGCACCCTCCAAGTGCAAAGTACTTCTACAAGACTGGCAGGATTCTAATCCTGTACTCACCCTAGATGGTGAGCAGATCGAAGTAGTTGAGAAGTTCGTGTATCTAGGTAGCTATATAAGTGCTGGTGGTGGCGTGAGTGATGAGGTTGATGCACGTATAACGAAAGCCAGATCGGCTTATGCCAATCTGTGCCATCGTTGGCGCCTTCGTGATGTTAGTCTGGCTGTAAAAGGTCAGATCTACAACGCGTCGGTGAGAGCAGTTTTACTCTATGCTTGTGAAACCTGGCCTCTCCGAGTTGAGGATGTTAGACGTCTCTCTGTGTTCGATCATCGTTGTCTCCGAAGGATTGCTGACATCCAGTGGCAACACCATGTTAGTAATGCAGAGGTTCGACATCGTGTGTTCGGGCACAGAGGCGATAATTCAATTGGTGTCACCATCTTGAAACACCGACTTCGGTGGCTTGGACATGTTTTACGAATGTCGTCCCAGAGACTTCCACGTCGTGCATTATTTGCCGACCCTGGGACTGGTTGGAAAAAGCGGAGAGGAGGTCAGTGTATGACATGGTGTCGTGGCATGAAAGAGAGCTGCAAAGGGCTAGCTTCCGTTGGTCCTTCACGAATCCTTGGTTGGGGTCCGAGAGATGGTGCAACACAGTGGCTAGAGACGTTATCAGATATGGCTCAGAATAGAAACCAGTGGCGATCCTGCTGCAACCTTCTTTTACTTTCTACATAAAGTATGGTTCTTACTTTCCTATTTGAAAGAGTCTTCTGGTTGTACATTTTAGTCCGCCTTATCTTTTCATCCCTTCTCTTCCTACTTTCATTATTTTGTGTGGCGCATATGTACCTGGTGCCCTTTTGTACTAATATATATGTGTTTAAATAAATAATAAAAAATTTGTCGGACATTAAAAGTTCCTATATGTAGTTTAGAGCGTGGTTTCAGAAGACCAGGAATAACGTTCCGTCTACTCGAATCGTTTGCCCTAGCGGTGCGAGGTGATAAAAGGACGTGGGAAGGGTTAGTCGTGGAGATAACAGAGTTATTAGGTGTAGGAAGGATTTGAAAGCGACCAACTTGGTCTTGTGTGCAGTTAAGGGTATGAGGGCTAGTATCACTTCCCGGCTGCCCACACCGTGGAAGCCAACCATTTCACTTCAGCTATATCAGGATAAGAGATAGTAGGTACATAATTTTTTGTAGACATGAAAACGGTCAAAAAAGATAAACGAGCCTCTTACTTATCATATATCTGTAGATGGCATGGAATAGCTGCAATAAATCCAACCAGCTTTTTACTTTTAGTTACACGAAGTCCAACATGCCAATCTTTATGCCAACCAGGTGACTTTAGGATCCTAAACGAAAATAAATTGTACACAAAGATATTTTTAACGACACGAATACCAAAGAATAAAAATTAGTGCAGTATGGGAATAAAGTTCACATGAAATTGCAATGATTTACAGGATCTAGGCAACTACAGGTGGGACAGTCGCTGGACAGATATTATAATGTACTGGTCAGAACTTTAACGTCACGTGAACTTAAACGTGTTTTAAAAAGAAACACACTAGTATATTGAGTGGAAAAAGCAATGAAAATCTAACGAAATCCAAAATATAACTAGTTACTTAGCAGAAATATGTAACAAGAAAGGGTAGTTCAATTTTCTCCTTCAATCAAGCATCAGCCAGTATAATGATCGACTACAAAAAAATGGGCAAACAACTAAACAAAAACAATGTAGAATCTGGGGTGAAATGATATTCAAAAGATTTACGCTGAACAAGGAAAATAAAAGCCAAAAATTAGTAAAACCAATTGAAAATAATTAATATTGAATCGAGAATAGGAGAGTAGAATTAGATGGAGAATAGTACAAAAATGTAACAGGTTTTAAGCTGTATGACGATTTTGACTTGTATTATAAAATTAAACTAGGAAGTCAACCGTTTTCCATTCATGATGTAAGCCCATAATAAATACTTGCACAGAATTACTCTGTGACTTGATTCAACTATCATTACACTCTTGCTATATAGTGAATAACTGGGTCACTGGACCATATCTGAGTCGAAACCTCTGTAAATTCAATAGATCATATAGTTTTCGGCTAAAAATAAGTAGTAAACAGATAAAGCACTGAATAGTTATCTAGTTCCGGTTCAGGACTCAACATTTCTAAATACACAACCCCAACAGGAATTGCACGCACGATCATTACGTATCGCAGAGAGTGAGTGAGTCTAGATGCAACGGTACATATTTCCAAATTCAACAGAGCACCTTATTAAGAAGCACCACAATAAGATGAAACAGCTATCCATCGATCTCTAATTTAAAATGGTTCTATAGCTGTCATATTCCATGACCTACTTATTTTATGAACCAAGTTTGAATCGCATTGTATGAGGGCTAATGGTAACACACGGCTGCAAGCTAAATGCTTTAACCACTAAACTCCACTTCTCATACTTTGCAAGGAGTATTACTAACCCTCATCAGAACATTGTGTCAGTCAGTCAGTCACAACGTAGAACTTCGTACGTACGTACATCAGTTCGAGTTGCTATACCACATTAGCACAGAGATGCAGTTGTCGATTCAATTCCCATAGTGGTAGAAGTAGTAGGAGTATAATCAGAAATCCAAAAGATTAGGGTTTGAAGAAATTATTGAAGGAGTATAGTACAGTGAAATAAATTTGGAAAGAGAAAAGATAAATACATGAGGAATTCAGAAGATTAGAATTTGGTAGAACACAAAGAGTGGATGCATCTTCGCCATTGCAAACGATTTTCAGCCATGTCATTCAAGGTCTCTAACCATCGGTTGCTGTCATCTCGCGAATCCCAACCAGGTAGTCTACACCTACCAACATGGCCCAGTCCACTTGTCAGTGACTTCATTGATTTGTGCCATGTTTTGGTCTGGCCACCCCTAGCTTTCTTCCAACCTACTCCTACACCATGAAACATTGCACGTCGGGGCAGTCGGTGGTCGGGCATACGTAACACATGTCCCAGCCATCTCAACTGATGAAGTTTCACTACTTCATCAATCGATTTGCCATCCCTACCTAGTACTCGTTTCCTAACAACTGCATTACTTACCCGGTGGTCCCAGGATATACGAGCAATGCTTCGAAGACACCTATGATCGAACACTAGTAGACTACGAATATCCTCTACTCTTATTGGCCATGTTTCACTGCCATAAAGTAGGACGGAGCGAACTGCTGCACAGTAAACCCGTCCTTTGGTTGCTAGACGGATATCTCGCCTACTCCATAAATGACGCAAGTTGGCGAAAGCTAGACGAGCCTTCTGTATCCGTGCTGAGATTTCGTCACATACCAGACCACAAGGGCTGATGAGACTCCCAAGATAAGTGAAGTGGTCTACACGCTCAACTACTTCACTCCCTATCATTAGTTCAGGTGTCGCTGCAACCCAATCCTGAAGTAACATTTTGCACTTCGAGGGAGAGAATCGCATTCAGAACATGCCTGCATAGTTGCTTATAGTAGTCAGAAGACTCTGCATGTTGTCAGCGTCTTCACCGAGTAAAACTATGTCGTCGGCGTATTCTAAGTCAACAAGTGAGCCTCCTGGTAAAAGTTCAACTCCTGGAGGTTTAGCTGATGAAAGTGCTATCTCTAAAAGTATGTCAATGACAAAGTTAAACAAGAATGGGGTGAGTGGTCAGCCCTGACGAACGCCACTTGTGGTAATCAGTTCTGATGACAGTTCGCCATAGGCTCTAACTCGACCAGTTGTGCTCGAGTAGAGAGCCTTTATGAGGTTAATGTACTTCTTTGGTACTCCTTTCAGTGACAAACATTGCCATAGAACCTCACGATCAACAGAGTCAAATGCCGCCTTAAGGTCAAGAAATACTACTATTGTGGGACGTCTGAATTTGTGTCTATGTTCTAGAACCTGACGTAGGGTGAATATCTGGTCTATGCAACCACGTCCAGGTCGAAAACCAGCCTGGTTTTCTCTAGTCTGCTCGTCACGAGCTTTGGTTAGGCGACCTAGTATTATTGAAGCTAATATATTAGACACTATATTAGTCAAACTGATCCCTCTGTGATTGTCACAAGAGGACTTTTGTCCTTTCTTATAGACTGGCACAATCAGTGATTGGGACCAGTCAGATGGAATTACGTCCAGTTCCCAGATTCTACCTAAGACCTCAGTCAATCTCACTGCTAGTACTGGACCACCATCCTTAAAAATCTCAGGGGTCAACCTGTCAGGGCCTGCTGCTCTCCCTCGCTTCAGATTTCCTATAGCTTTTTCAACCTCACAGAGGGTTGGAGGACTTACATCAATTTGCCATTCAGGACGACTGGGGATCGTGGGTAATTGAAGTGTGGCTGAAGGCCAGTTGAACTGATCCCTAAAGTGTTCTGCCCATCGATCCAATCTCCTGGATTGAGAATGAATAATATGCCCATCTTTATCTGAGATGGTTTCACTGATATTCGGGTTCCTAATACCGGTTTCTTTAACGAGTCTGAATAGCTGCCTACTGCTACCTATTGCCGCTGCCTTTTCCATCTCTCTTGCTTTCGCTACCCACCACTGTTCACGATCATTACGTAGGCTTCTTATAAGCCTGCGCTTAAGTTGACTCCGCTCTTCGTTATGCTCAGAGCCAGGTGGGATGAGTTTACGAGCATCTATCAGTGCGGTAGATGCTGCCGAGATCCATTGTTTCTCCCTAACGTTATGGTTTACCTTACTAGCAGATATCACTGCTGTTTCCACAGCTTTTCGGATGTCATTCCACGCTGCCTCGGGGTGGACACAACTTACATGGCTGCCTAACTGTTTTCCTAGTTGTTCCTGAAATATATTCTTAGATTGCCTATCATTAAGTAGAACCCTTAGAGGCTTCCCTGCAGTGTCTTTCCTACGACCAGTAAGACGCAGACAGATACGTGCTCGCACTAGAGCATGATCTGAATCTAAACATGTGCTCCAGAATGAGCGACAGTCTTCTATCGAGCCCCTCCATCGGTGGCTGATAGCGATGTGATCTAATTGGGTCCAACGTTGGGACGAATTCGGGGGTCGCCATGTCAAAAGATGTTTTTCCTTATGCTTAAAGTTAGTATTTGCAAGAAATAGGCGGTTATCTGAGCATAGCTGCAACAGACGGTCGCCATTATCTGTTCTTTTCGCCATGACACCATAAGATCCACCCAGGTGTCCTTCCCTTTCACTTAGTTTACCTACTTGAGCATTAAAGTCACCTGCTACTATTACTACATCAGAACGCCTAGCTTCTCGGAGAAGGTCAGAAAGTTTCCTGTAGAACTCATCTTTCATATCGTCTGAGCTGCGGTCAGTGGGAGAGTAGGCAGAGACGACGAAGAGGCAACGACGAGTTTCCCTATCTTTCCGGGTCCTCACTGATCCGTTTAGTCGGACAGCGCATAGACGACTGTCTACTGGGATCCAGTCTAAAAGAGTTAGTTCTGCCCTACGACTTAATGCTATACCTACTCCAGCGAGGCCACGGGAAGCAGCATCAGGGCTTCCAGATACACGAAGCGTGTATCGAGATGAAACTTTATTTTGATTAGGTGCGGTCAAATGAATGACACTACTCGGATCTTGTATGCGCGTTTCGGAGACGCAGCACACATCGATGGTGTAAGATTCTAGAGTCCTAGCTAAGGAAGCCTGTTGTCCTATTTGGCACAATGTTCGGACATTAAAAGTTCCTATATGTAGTTTAGAGCGTGGTTTCAGGAGACCAGGAATAACGTTCCGTCTACTCGAATCGTTTGCCCTAGCGGTGCGAGGTGATAAAAGGACGTGGGAAGGGTTAGTCGTGGAGATAACAGAGTTATTAGGTGTAGGAAGGATTTGAAAGCGACCAACTTGGTCTTGTGTGCAGTTAAGGGTATGAGGGCTAGTATCACTTCCCGGCTGCCCACACCGTGGAAGGGTATTTCTTGAGGGACCTGAAAAAGAAGTTGGATTAGTGTTGGTCTTAACGACCTGGGAGCGTGACCGCAGAGCCCAAGGGACATCTGCTTGAGGCCGGTCACGCACGGCCTTTTTGTGGGGGATTTTTGATGTGTTAGCTCCGTTCTTCAAAAGTCCTTACCGCCGGAGACGGAAATCCGTGGGATAAGGCGAGGTGTGCATTTTTAGGGTCGACCTTTTCTAACCCCACCCCTCCTTGTGGGAAGGCAGCATCGCTGTCATGCTGGTTGTCTGAAGGAAACACCTTACTGCTTTCACACCTCTGTACAGTCAGCAGTACGACTTCGCCTTCGGACCTTGGGATTGCTGCTTTTAGTCTCACCGCTCTTCAACCGACCTGTCTGGCATGGTAGGACCTTGAGGAACGATTGTTCCAGCCAGCATAGCTCGATTGGATCATCACGATAGGCAAGCCCGACCACCACGTCAAGGTAGCAGCAACGGTCGAGCCAGAACATTGTGCATGTACATTAAACTATATTTGGTAAAGAAACTATATTAAATGACCCAGTGATGGGTGAAATAGACTTTGTTTACACTTACCATTGTAAGAAATGTTTAGAATAATCAAATCGGAAGAGATGATCATCGTCTTCAACATAATTTTCATACAGAAGATCATACAATTCTTGTAGCTATAAGTAATAGCAAAATGAAAAGTCAGGTAAATAAAAAAATTCATGACGTACACCAAAACCAATCCATACTTTTCTTCGTAGTAAGTCATATATCATCGTAACCAGTCACAAGTATTTATGATGAGCGTAAATAACTGGGAGCCTAAATTCTAAGTATACCGGTTTATTACGCAGCATTTGTCATCAGAAAAGAAAGGTGAAAGGAAAAAGGGGAAATACGGTAAATAAACGAATTAAAACCACATGAAAAGACAAACAGGAGAGAATAATGGAGTATATCGTTATGTGATACTGCAACCGATTTCAAGTTATATTATCAAAATTTTTCAGTCATTGACCCAAACGAGAAAGCTCGCACCTAATACAGAAGTTTGAAAATAAGTCTGATGACCAAGTTAGAACGTTTTGATGCGTTCAACGGCTTTTAATCAATCACATTTACTTTTGTATTAATTTTTTAACGAGTGAAAATAAACTTTTTCTGACCAGTGGCATTACCTTTTGATATATGTTTATTGGGGGAATGATCTTGCACCAATAACTAAGTTATCGTGAGCAACTGTCATACAGTCACTTTGAATAGTTACAACATTTCAACATATCTAACCTGTAAGTGATAACAGTTTAAAAACAAGGGATCCTTTTAGTTCAGAAAGTGACAGCTAGAACTGATCACTACACTTCACAAAGGATCGTTTAGTGAATTAGAATCTGAAGATTATTCACAGATTATTATACCATATCTTAGTGAAATTCACGAATGCAGGATGGATGGAAATCTTAGTTAACGTAACAATACACTAATTCTATACAACGAAACGTCAGTGAAGAGTTTTGAAATTAATGACAGTTCAAACTGAATACGCCGCTGCCATGAATTTCAAAGATTTTATTCGTCTTCTAATTACCCTTTAGTCAGTTCATAAGAACCACTGAATTGTCCAGCTGTAAAGCGAGGAATACAGTCTGAATGTTCATATGGTTACAAATTAAATTAGGTGGCAAATGTGAAGGACAAAGAGAATCAAGGAAACAAACAAACAAACATTAGGTAGCAAGAAGCTAACGTATGCGATTTCAGAGTATTAGTGAAGATTAGACATGTAGAAAGAACAAAAATAAACCAATCCTGGCATAAAGGTTTTTGTGAAAAACTTTTAATTGATCACTTCACAATCACATATTATCCCCTCTCCATATTAGCATTTATACAACTGATTGAAACTAAAACTCCATGAACTGGTAACGTGGATATTTGTATCTGAACACAGAATGCTAATATCAGTTACGACTCTACATGGGTAGAACGTTTAGTGGCCACCTCAATGAAGTCTATCCAAACTATAGAGTTACTGCATTTACCTAAAACTTGGCACCAAACACGACAGAGCTGGCTGAATTCAACATAGATAAGCTATGTTTGGAAGTTATCGATCATCAAATTATTTTAGTCTCCATATATCTCTTACTTTCAATAACCATGTTTCATAACCTTAAAATTATACATAAAACTGTCTTTGACGAGTAAACAGAAATCCTATTTGAAATAGGCGTATCTTATGATTGAAATTTGAATTAAATTTTGTATTAGTGGTGAAATTTCAGGGGTACAAATCTTGGCATGGTTACAAACCTTGAAAATATACCATTTTTAAAGTATATCATTTGATGCTATGCTTGTGGAGATTGAAATTGATCTGTAGACCCAACACCTGGTTAAAAAACTACATAATAATATAGAAAATCCAAAGCATTTTAAATTTAATATATTTACTAGCTTACATGACATCGTTAACAACTATTGTTAGCACTCACTAATCCATTCACTGAGTAATGTTGATGATGGGCTTTACCAGACGTTCCATACTGTTAAAGCACTCAATGAAAAAGATACCCAATGGGAAAACTACATTACCACCCTTTTTGTATACTTAAAATCCGCAATTCTAGTAGCTGGAAGTATATGAATCACCAGAAAGTGTCCCAGTTTGCCATTTGATGCACGTAATTGCTGAGCCGTAACGTATTCCATTGTCTTTTTCCTTGAGGGACAAATAGACTACCACAACCACATTAGCTTTAGAAGCTATAAAAAATATCAAAGCTGGTCAAATTTCCGATTTTCAGGACCATTGTGAAGCAATTAATATAAAATATAGGGACAGAAACTAATGACAAACCAATTATTCAGTCTCAAGGTATTGTAATTAAACAGCAGGAACATTTGGAGAATACTGAAAACTGTTTTCAATCAATTCCTGCTTCCAAGGATCATAAAATGTAAATTGTAGATTTTGATGCAGTTCATGCTGAAAACTAAGGAATTCATATATTCATACCAAGACTATAAAGTGATTAATAAGAATTATATTTATGTGAACTAAAGTGTTAATTCTAACCAATTAAAGTTTCATGCTTCTAAGAATAGCAGATAATAACAGTACAATTGTTCAGAGTTGTCAAAAATGGAAAACTACCTCAGTTTCGTCATCCAAAGAAACTTCACACCAATAAAATCCTTCAGGTAATGTATAAGGCTGTGAGCGAATATCTTCATGTTTTGAATCTGGTTCAATTGGACCATTGTCAGTAATCTCTTCAGCTGAAAGGTAAAGCATAAGTTAGCTTAACACAACAGACTGTAGTTGCGCTTTCCAATACCAAACCTTTTTACTTATATTTCAAGCACTATCTATAATCCAATCTTTACCGATAAAATATTAACTATTTTAATAATTGTGCCTGCCATCAATACCTTATTTCACTTTCGCAACAAAAGAGCTCTAATATCAAAGTAAAATCGCATTAATAAATGTAGTTTAAGACTTTGGGATACAATCATCTAACGTGGTAGGTAGAGAAACAATATGATGGAAAAAGCTAGTCATTGAGTTGTAAAAGACTGCTGGGACTTACAGAGAGAATGAATGTAAGTCCATTGTTGATAACGGAGAACAGTCATAAGTTAGTCAATTTATTCATATTGTTTTGAAGGTTTATAAGAAGTATCTAATAAGTCTTTATGAGGTATGCGATGCTCTTTTGACAGTTAATAATAATAATAATCACCGATTAACATATAAAATATAAACATGCTACATATCCTAGATGTCAAAGTTTGCAGATAGATTGAGAAAATGAATCATTTGAGTTGATGAAAATCCGCATCATTTTCGAATATATTCAGTCAGTCAGTCAGCTACAGTCGTTGCTGCTATCTTGACATGGTGGTCGAGCCTTCCTATCGTGATGAACCAAACGGGCTATGCTGGCTGGAACAATCTTTCCTCAAGGTTCTACCATGCCAGACAGATCGATTGAAGAACGGTAAGACTAAAAGCAGCAAACCCAATGTTTAGGGGCAAAGTCGTACTGATGACTGTACAGAGGTGTGACGGCAGTAAGGTGCTTCCCTCAGACAACTAGCACAATAGTGATAGTGCCTTCCCACAAAGGAAGGGCGAGGTTAAAAAGGGTTGGCTATAGAAATGCACACCTCGCAGTAAGGTCTCAACAAGTACGGAGCTAACACAAAATTTACCCACAAAAAGGTCGTGTGTGATCGGGCCTCAAGCAGTTGGCCGTTGAGCACTGCAGTCACGCTCTCAGGTCACTAAGACCAACTCTAACCCAATTTTCTTTTCAGGTACTTCTAGAAGAACCCTTCTAAAGTGTGAGCAACCGAGAAGTGATAGCCTCACTCATACCTCTAGCAGCACTCAAAACCACTGTCGAATATATTAGCTCATTGGCACTATCTTTGATGTCCCTTCAGGTCTCAATCAATGGGTCAATAAAAACAGTAACCTTAGATTGACACCCTCTTTCGGAATGCATTTGTTATATCTTACAGCGGTACGATATGATCTTACAAATATGTTCCACCCTTAACTATCAAAATGTTAGGACATTTATCGTTAATATAGATTGGCGATAAGCATACAACACTCATTCCGCATATTAGTGAGCAAACCATAGTTTGTGTGGTCAGACAAGGAGTTGTCTAAATAACTACAAAGTTGAAACCAACTATTTTATATTTAGTAGATACGATCCGAATGCAGGTTATTTTTAGAAAACTATACATTGTGAATTGTCCATAGTCATAAATGCGATGAAATATCTAAGTTTACACATTAGGTTGTAGTTTAACCTCACTTGTCTAAAATTTGATTATTGAAGACAAATTAGATTATATTTTAATAGCTGGAAGTGGAGTGGCTACGTCTGAATATGCTTTATATATATTCTTGAATTGCTTCGATTATTCAAAACTATAACCCTAAAAGATTCCAATCATCTACAAACTGGAATATAAGTTTCGTGGTAATATTTTACATATATGTCATTGTTATTTATTTTAATATTCAGCATTGTGACGTTCTGAAAGTTTATTAACAGTATTAGTTTCCATATATCCAGACGACCTGTCTCATATATGCGTAAAGTTACACAACTAGATCAAACGATCTAAGAACATCGAAAAAACAAAATACTTATCAGTAATGTCGTGAAAAATGTCACTTACTGAGGTCAGGAACTGGCTGTGTTCTCCAGAATCGATAATCACTCTTAGACTTCTTTTCTGTCTCACCACTAGAACTACCAGATCCAGAGACCAACATGACGTTAGTGAGTTGCTTTAAAAGTTTCTCATTAATCCCATTCGGGAATTGTCCAGATGACAAAGATTTATCAGTATTAGAAAGTGAGTCAACACTATCCGACACATCAGTTGTATTAGCTGATTTTTTCATTTTGCTTTTTAAAGGCTGTAAAGAAAACATAAATTGTTTAAGGAAAGGCAGGCGAAAAAGTTATGACAACCCCAGTTAGTTATACTTATCGTGGGGGCTGGGACATATGTATACTGGTTTATGTCATACCAGCACAGCGAGATTCCAAAGGATTTTAAGTAATAACGACATTAGCAGTAGTGGTAACCATTAGGTATATGATATGATTCAAAAAGATATGGATTTGTGGAATAAAATGGAAGTCTTGAAGTTAATTATGAATTTTAAGATCTAGTTGAAGACAGAGTGAATGGATCTGCGTCATTTCAATCGACTCTGAACCATATCATTCAACATCTTTAACCACTGGTTATGAAAATTGAGCGGATCTTAGCCAAATAGTATGAACCTATATACGTGTCTCACTCCAGTTTCCAAAAACTTCATGGACTGATGCCACGTTTTGGTTTGGTCAGGCCTAGCTTTCCTCCAACATACTTATACATCAAGCATCACTTATCGACGTGGGCGATGGATGGGCATATGTAATACATATCCCAATAGCCTTAGACGATGAAAATTAACTAACTTATCACCCCAAATGCCGAGAGTGGGGAGAGTCCGCTCTCCCTCTCGAAATGCTCTCACATGCCCATGCGTAATGGTCTCTGCCAGGGAAGTCCTACCCACTGCCTTCTCGTGGCGAGGGTGTTGTTTATAAAACTGAGAGAACGGAAAGCCAATGTCTGGCGCCTTAAGCGGGTTGGTGGATATGAAGGATCCACCTAGGGGAGTTGGAAAACACTGATTCCAAACCAATGCTGCACATGGGCTCCAGTATTCGGAGGGAACATATGGCGTATGAGTCAATCGTTGGTCACCGGTTACCATGGGACTGCATCTCCTCACGATGCTCCACTGCCTTGGGGATCTGACATTCCATTCTAAGGCTCCGGGTGTGGCCCCCTAAGAAGATTATCTGCTTCAGTCTGGGCACCTGGGCAGTATCACAGCCCTCACACAAATCGAATGAGACTTGTGCATCGCATATATATCTGGTGCTCCTTTGTACCAATATTTATGTTTAAATGAATAAATAATAACTTGTCAGTCGATTTTCTATCTTTACCTAGAACTCTATGTCTAACATCTAAAGTGCTCACTCGACAGCTTCAACACATAGGAACAACGCTCCAAATGCACCACTAGATCCCAAATTCCAAAATCCTATACTTATTTTATCTCTATGCTTGAACTTTTATACCATTACGGATACTGTTACGTTATCTAATGCTATGAAACTTAGCTTGATGATCTCATCTCGCCATGATGTGTAGCAGTATGAACCGATGGAAATACGTTAGGTTTTAGATTGATTATGACTAACCAACTGATGACAAGAATATCGGTAGGATTAAACTATACTGCCGACCTTTGAACGAATCTTAAATGACCTTGAGAAATATTAGCCAATCCGAAAACAGTTAGTATACAGTAAAAATATATTACACTAAACTCAAAAATTAGAGAGGATATTGTTCTTTTACATGACTTAAAAACTTATCAAGGTTAGATATTGGTTCAGAAGTTTTAAAATCATAATGTATCCGATACAGGAACTCAACCATGTGGCTCCATAGTAGTCGACCTCTGGAACCATGATAAGGTCTCAAAAATTCTTTTAGCCTCGACCACATAGCTTCAATGTTGTTGGCATATTGGTATGGTTTGCGGTTTAGTGTTAGAGTTAAGGTTTCGGGTTAAGGGTGAGACTATAATTTAAGAACGACCTTTGAGCGACGCTAGAGTGACTCTGAGAGTGTCAAATAATAACTAAGACCAAATGAGAGTTATAAACCTGTGTGAAGAATTCAAATTATGATTTACAGCTCATAGTCAAGGTTAGGAATTATACTGAGGGGTTTTCATCAGGAACTGACATCAGCTATAATGCCAAAACTCTATTTACACAAATGAATAATTGAATTTCGCGCCAAAATCTTATGATCACTTCTCTTGTAGAGGCTGAATTATCACGTCTTCCTTAAAATCCGCTATAAATCGATCGTACGCAAGCATCAAGTACCGAACTTAGCGCCATGACCTTGAAAACCCTCAAAAGCTTCTGATTGGCTCGGCAGTATAGTTTAATCCGACCAGAATATCATATTTATTATATTTATGACATTTAAAGTGTTCTAGATCGCAAGTTCGACAGAGAATAACTCTTCCGCTTAGAGCATTCAGTCATTAGTCTTATCATCACTTGGTACCTCAAAAATTTTCGCGATATCCAAAATCTGATGAGAAACCTGCATAACATCCGATGAAGTTACCATAACGGCCGGTATCTCGAAAATAACACACTATCCAGGACAATCAGTATTCGACATTTGCGAAATCGAGAATGCCCTAAAACTAGGAACAATAGTAATTGGGAGTTTGGCTAACGGATTTCCAACTAAAAGTGAAATAAAATGAGACCTTGGAGTATAAACTCACGAATGGTGGAGTATCGAATGAGTTTGCAAGTGATAGGTTTAAAAAAACCTTTACCATTAGCCTATAGTATACACTGAAGTGATAAGTGACATCAATCAGTCAATACGAATCCTTCAACTCGTAGTTTCAGCCATGAATAAATATAAGATTCATCAGTCAGGTAGAGACAAACAGGGAGTCTTTAACTGACACCCAAGGTAAACTATAAGTAACAATTCACTGGTAGTTCTTTATAAATGCTTTCCTCACAATAAATTATCTACGAAGAACTAAGAAAGCATGTTTTTACGTAAATGGACACTTAACGAGTGAAAGGAATACTATGTGAGCCGAGAAATTGTAAGTTCACATTTTTCTTAGGGTGCCTCAGATGAATACAAGTACTGCAAGTCCCCATACCTAGCAGAATAAAAGTAGCTGGATATCCCGAGGACCCCAATGTATCAGATGTACGCAATATATATATATATATTCTCCCCACCTCCAAAACAACTTTGGTTCAGAGATATTTGCCTTCTCAAATGCTTGAACTAAGACTCAGAGAAAAATGTAAGCTGAATTGGGTACCCTTCAGGGTTAGTACCTTGGAATTCATCTGACTAAGAAACAATTATAATGCAAAGTAGCGAGACTACATAATGGAATGATGGGGTTCAACAGAATAATTACACAGATGAATATTGAACTTCCCTTCTTGAAAAAATACTTGTCATGTAGCCCTTCATTTCTCATTTAATAGCACGAATAGTTTTTCATCTCCAAAATTAAAACAGAGAGGCCTTACTTTTAAATCAAGTACGTAATTACCTTTTGGCACTGCTAAATATCCCTATATTTGGGGAACTTTGATAAATTTTAGGGTTTTCCTCAAATTCGTAAGAAATATGGTAGCTTTCTCCAAAGCTAGGGGAAAAGCCCCAAACTATTATACAATTCTGTGGAAATACTGGAGAAAAACCGAATTTCCCCAAAACTTTGGGGACTTTCCCAGGCCTATGTAAATTTTTGGGTTTTGTGCCATTTTCCTGAAGTTTTATGTTGCTTTTTTTTACCAATTTACACGAAACGGACCGAATTCTGCCCAAAATAGAGAGATTGGGTATGATCAAAGTAGTTAGATTATTTTGATGTACACCTGTGCAAAACAGTGGTTCTTTTTTGTGAAGTTACGTCTATGTGTGATACTTAACAGTACTCATTCTGCGAATGATGAAGAGTAATCGCCAAACTTACTTCCTCTGGCGTATCAGTCATGTTACTGCGGGTCGTAACGCACAGTCACGAAGCCCGCGTGGTCTATGCGGGGCTCAGTAGTAAGAATACTAAGTTGGTTGACCTGTATCACTCCTTGAATTGAGTACCTCCCGAGAAGCCAAGTTTCCTAATACAAAAATCCGTCAGTAGGGCTGGAACCAGGTAGGACTTTTAAGGCATTGACTGTCCAATGTAGAGACGGAATTCTACCCTGAGTTAATGCAGTCGTTGTTTCCAAACCTTTTCTGGGATGCTTACGAGATTAGTTTGTAACAGCAAATACATCCCCAAAATAATTAGTTCTGTAATTTTTCGACATTCATGGTGACCTCATTAGTTTTACTAGTGTAGGGCCAGTGAAATGTCACTGAGCCCTAGCCAAATCATCCGGTAGTTGGGTCACTGGATACCGAACAGATCATCGATCCCTTTCGAAGTCAAGGACAACAAACGCGCATCAATTAATCATACGCCATAAACTAGCCCATGTGTTGGTGGTTTCACTAACACCTCTGTACTCATTTTTACCAATATATATTTACGTGTTATACGGTCTTCAAAGCAGCCATAGTACTTTGAAACGTTAAAGGTTTAATCCATGTCAGATACTGACTGCGAGGTGAAACTTCAAAGTTAGCTGGGTCGTCACATCATTCTACATAGATCATCAAAGTTGGCGGTGTACACTAGACACACCTAGCTGAAAGTGTGTGGTCACAAATCCGCAACATGTCACGGGCGAGTACGACATGCTACTCATCCCTTGCAGCTGTTGGCCATCTTATCGACATGCCGAAGGCCCTTTAAATATACCTTCTAACAGGTATATAAGCAGTATGTATGCTACATTGGCTCTAAGCATAGCAAATAAAAAAGGTATGTGAAAGTAATTGTTAATGGTGTTCATATTCGATTGCAATTGAATACAGCATCAGGTGTCACAATAATCCCTAAACGGACATTGAATTTAATTGGTTTTCCACATGTATTACCAACCAAGTACATAGCTCAGGACGCATCCGGAGACATATTAAAGTTTGTTGGAATAATAAAATGCTCTGTTGAATTCCGGAATAACCACTTTACAGGAAATTGTTAGTTAACTAACAGACATGACTTGGAATTCATTGGTATAGATTGAATAGATAAACTAAATCTATGAGATGGACCATTGAGTGAAATATGTACGACGAAATGCGCAAATAGTCCTAGAGATTTATTCGCAGTTCATTTAACTAAGAAGGCTATAACGGTAGAAGACCTTTTCAAAAGGCATAAGAACTTGTTCCAAAAGTAAAGTAAACTTGTAGAGCGCCTGGCCTTGGCTGTGACCTTGAATTAGCGCGTACGTCAAGCTTGTTTCTGAAGTTCGAAGCTTTGTAGTTGTGCCCTGAGAACTCAATGCCTGAAAAATGAAAAACAAGAGTGCAGCGAGGTACTTGGATATAAGCACTAAACAATGTTTAACATTTCGCAGTGGAACAGAAAGGAGTGTGATTGATTATTAGAATAAATTCATACTAGTTCTTGTTGCTAGAGTGAAATGTAGTTAGAGCCTCCAGATGAGAGAATACAGTAATAAAGAACAATGAGTTATGATATGTAACATGATGGAGTATGTTCAAATGGTGGAAGAGAAGTCGAAGTTAGAATAAGGAAAGCTGTTTACTAGAATGGAGAGTGCATCAAGAGAGTAAAGTGTTAAGAAACACCAAAAACGGTATCTTTTATTGTCTGATTTTTTTAGTTTTTTCTCCATCCTATGCCTGCCACATAGTCGTAGTGTAAAAGTTCGAGTTAGCCTGTTATAAGTGTTTTCACTAAACCACCAGGTGGTGTTTGATTTAAAAAGTCAGCAGGACAACGCTTACCAACGGCAAACTGCTTGAGTTCAAACTTCTGACTGGTCACGTTTTAGGGCCATCACTATCCCATCAGGAATTGTGAGTTGTAGCGATAAATAAATCCTCACATTGAACAGTCTTACAAGCCTTCAACATAAATGCTAACCTCATTAGTTCTACTTGACACACCCTAGTTGAAGGCTGTCAGTAACGCACACACCCGACCACCAGTGATAACGCCATGCTTTTCAGCCATAGCGACTACTAGTCGGCCTAGATCAAACGCTTCTCAAAATATCGACAAACTTCCAGATGTATATTCAAAATTCTTAATTCCGAATTTCCGATTTTACCGGTTCGGTATCTTTCGTCTTTAAAAGTGTTACACAGTAAAACATGAATATATTTGGTATATTTATATCCTTCCCCTAAAAGTAGGAAACGTATATAGATATCTCGTATATCACCACTGAACCACAAAATCAGTCACATATCTCCAGTCTACAATGTGAAAAATGTCATTCCCAACGTCAACTTTATGTTACACACATATACTACTCTAAAAACAGGGTAGAAAACATACATATTGCTGTTAACTAATGTTTCGATCAGTTGTCTTTCGAAACAGTAATATGGGCTCCATGTCCTGTCCTTGGAAAAGGTGTTTTTAGATAGGTTTAGGAATATTTGGAAACAATTAATTGACATCAAATGATTCAAATGAATCAGAATAGAATGGAAGGTGTTTGTGCCTTACGAGCTTCCATATTCAGTAGCAGTTGATTGCCGGTGTCTTATGGTAGGAACCTAAGTATACCTAGCGTTGAAAAAAAACTGGCAAATCACAGTGAGAGAGTGTCCTTAATCCCTATGAATATGTCCCGCTCTCTCCTAAAGGACTCCCTTAGAAGTCTCTTGGACTGTCTTAGACGGCAGAAAATTCCATTCTCTGCACTAAAAAGAATATGTGATTTCCGAGGGTATTGAGAGAAGCGCTACCGTCTAGTGGATTGAAAGTTCGCGTTTGGGAGCACTGTTCTACTAGAAGCTCACCGGAATCACTGTCATTGTTAGTTAAACCATTAGGACCTCCGGTTCTGGCCCGTCAAAGAAAAGTTTAGCGACGGGATAAGCTTCTCGGATTGGAGATAGACTTATCCATTAGCTTTATTTGACAGTGAAGCCTATCTTCTCTTGTTGCTTTTGTGCACTGGTTACTTGCTTGTTTAAATTGTCTACATATACTTTCGTCAATAGTTCGTTTGTATTCCGCCTAGTAGTCTCTTTTAATTATTAGCATTCGAAGAGCAAGATTCTTTATGACTGCACTTTGCATTTGATTTCTGGGGACTGTTTGCGGAACGGAATAGTTTGCAGCACGTAAGATCTTATGCAGCGGGAGTTTACTTCAAATTGAGGGTGAACGTTTCAGTTCATCTGCCATAGGTTTTTCTGTGTATCTAAAACACTTAACGTTTGAAATACTGAATCCTGTTCTTAGTACTCTCTCTTGGGTCAAATTGGCTGAGAAAATTGAAGACTATGACGGCGTGACCACATTTTCATGGGGAGTCAGGGTTCAGAGGTTGTCAAATAAGAATTCTTCGTTTGTAAATAAGCGTTCTAAGCGTCATAGCATCTGACTATTTATCCACCGAGTTACAAACTTCACATTTTGGAATAATCTCAAATCTTAAGTGAGAGTAAAGAAACGTGCTTCAGTATAGTTGTCATCCTCAATGTACGTGTCCAGAGAAATTGATTTTAGTAAGACTGAAGTCTCATAAAACAGAGATATGAGTGTATCCGAGACCATCATAGCGAGATGATTCCTCCAGCACACGATTGTCGTACTTGAAGTCATCAGTGAACTTTCTGCTGGTAACTCTGATCAGACATATGGAGGTTTTAGATAGTCTCACTCAGCACCATACGAACCCATCAAGACTGATAAAATTTTGAATACACGTTCAATGTGTTACTAAGCAAGATCTTAGGTGCAAGACTACTCTGATTCCCATTCCCATCTTTCTGTCGTTGAAAAACGAAGAGATCTTGGGTATTGCTATCTCCTACATGATAATTAGAGATGTCCATGCTTCAAACATTCTTATCAGATGAATATTATCAGTGTTACCTAGTTCACGCAACACATTCAGTTTTCTCTGGTAACTCGCGGCGCTCGTATATAGGTAGCTGATACGTTCGATTCAAAACGGATGAGCTTCCTTGTTTTGTTTGTCTGAAGGAGTATTGTGTGGATGGAGAGGCAACCTATCTAAGCAAATCCTAGCAGAATTTTACGACGACCAAAAACAATACACTTGAGAAGGATAAGGCTGAAAATGACGGCTATTATAAAAAGCTAAGATGTACTAAGATGAACCACGGCAATGAAAACTGTAAAAACTGTTACTGTGAGCAAAACAGAAATTAACTATTAACACGAATAAAACTCAAAAAGGGATGTAATCTATCGAACATTAGTCTCAGGCCTGATTCTTTGGACAAAACCTAGTATTTTTGTTGCGTAACGACACAACAGAAATTCGAGAAGTGCAAATCATGTTAGGATGATACTCCTCGTTTGTAAAGCTTGCGTAAAAGAATGATATAGACATCTTTTGATTCTGAAGGATCAAAGTAAATGCCATCACTTCTTCAGATAATCAAATTGAGTGATAGGTATATCTAAGTTAATTGAGAATAACGTGGAATCCTAATTTATGTTGAAATTAAGCCTCGCTACATATACCTAACCTGGATTATTCTGTCAGGTTACCCAGGCAACGTGGGTACCTCTTTGATTTTATAGAACAATTAGAATCTATTTCTTACCATCAGATGCAGATTTTCAGAGACTAAAAGTTCTATATTTGAATCCAGATGATGCAACGCATTCTAAACCTTTTGCCATTGATGATGCAACGGATATTCTAGTTTTACAACTGGATACCAGTAGCACCTTCTAAATTCGGTAATTTCCAGTCAGATAGAAATCAGAAGTCGGACGAGAATAGGCAGGAAAGATATATTTGATTCGTTACCAATATATCGAGGACCTTTTCTATGAGCTGGCTAATGAGACGTAGGAGCTGTGTCGCACGCAGTATTGAAACGTGATCTGGTGCGGATGCATGACCGAAAGCCTTCAGCTAAACAAGTCCACTTAAACAACGTGGTCAGCATCCAATGTCGAACACTTAATGAGCTATTGATTTTGGGGAATTATTTACAGCTACAGATCACTCCCCCCCTAGTGAGGTAGTGATGCCCCTAAGACGTGACCAGTCAGAAGTTTAAACCCAACGAATTTGTCGTTGGTAAACACTCTTCTGATAGCTTGCTTCGTTTAGCAGCGTCTGGTCGTCTTTCCTTAAACTATGGGACCAAAATGTACAACGTAGCAAATAAAGAAATATAGTACAATGAAAATTTCTGTTCCTTGCGAAACTTCGTCGTTCTTTTCCAGCCGTCCTGGAAA